CCTTCGGCCCAACAAGTCCACACTGATCCTCAGCATCTCACCCAGACCCATCCCCATACAACCCACCTAATCTACACATCCCTGAACACCATAGGCAATTTAGCATAGCCAATTCACCTAACCCCCACATCTTTGGACGTGGGAGGAAACTTCCGCAGACACAAGGAAAACATGCAAACTCCACACAGTCGCCCGTGGGTGGAATCGAACCTGGGTCCCTGGTGCTGTGAGACAGCAGTATTAGCCACTGAGCCACCGTGCCAAAATCATCACACCCACCCCATTTCTGTAACCCTGCATTTCCCATGGCTAACCCACATATCCCTGGGCACTACAGACAATTTTCCTTGGCCAATACACCTAGCCTGCACATCTTTGGATTGTGGGAGGAAACCCACACAGATAGTCACCAAAGGTGGAATTGAACCCAGGTCCCTGGCACTGTGAAGCAGCAGCGCTGACCACTGAGCCGTCTGAGAAGCTGTGCTACGTTTAACTTCCCAGCTACATTCTCATCCAAGTAACTTATATATATCACAACCAGCAGAGGTCCAAGATCCTGTGGTACACCACTAGTCATGGACCTCCAGCCAGAAAAACACCCATCCACTACTACCCTCTGCCTTCTACAGGAAAGCCAATTCTGAATCCGCACGGCCAAGTCACCATGGATCCCACGCATCTTAATCTTCTGGATGAGCCTACCATGAGGGACGTATTGAAAGCCTGATTAAAATCCATGTAAACAACATTGACTGCTCTATCCTCATCGATCACCTTGTCACCTCCTCAAAATTCAATGAAGTTAGTAAGACATGACCTGCCATGCAAAAAGCCATGCTGACTATCCCTAATTAGCCCATGTTCCTCCAAATGTGTGTAAATCCTATTCCTAAGATTTTCCAACCACTGATGTGAGACTCACTGAATAAATTAACAGAACTACTAACAAATCAAACAATTCTCCCTTAACTACTAACCATTCCCGAACAAAACAAAATTCTAATGGTATGCTGTTCCAATAGATACAAGCCCCACTTATATAAGCCCAAGTAATAAGAAAACTAAATTAAAACTTAGGCTCTCAAAAGTACAGCTAGGTTAAGTCTTCTGGAATGTTCTTTGCCTTCTCTGCTGATCCTTCTGTCAGGAATGCTTTCTCTGTAACTTCTTCTGACAGGACTCTTAGGGCTGTGGTACCTTTATGAATTGATGGTGCTTTTTCAGAGAGCTTAGATTTCTGCGAGAGCCAGATATTTACTCTTCAGATCGCAGTTCAGTCTCTCTCTCTGGTTTTTCAAAAATGCTTTTTGTATACCCCCGATGACCTGTCAATTTTCTTATAGGACTGGTCCAAGGTTGTCAAAACCATCAGATTTAAATTCAAGACAACAAGGTGCAGGGCTGGATGAACACAGCAGGCCAAGCAGCATCACAGGAGCAGAAAGGCTGACGTTTCGGGCCTAGACCCTTCATCAGAAATGGGGGAGGGGAAGGGGGTCCTGAAATAAATAGGGAGAGAGGGGGAGGTGGATAGAAGATGGATAGAGGAGAGGATAGGTGGAGAGGAGACAGACAGGTTGAAGAGGCGGGGATGGAGTCAGTAAAGATGAGTGTAGGTGGGGAGTTAGGGAGGGGATAGGTCAGTCCAGGAAGGACGGACAGGTCAAGGGGGCGGGATGAGGTTAGTAGGTAGGAGATGGGGGTGCGGCTTGAGGTGGGAGGAGGGGATAGGTGGGAGGAAGAATAGGTTAGGGAGGCGGGGACGCGTTGGACTGGTTTTGGGATGCGGTAGGGGGAGGGGAGATTTTGAAGCTTATGAAGCTTATGAAATCACCATTGGGTTGCATGGTTCCCAAGCGGAATATGAGTTGCTGTTCCTGCAACCTTCGGGTGGCATCGTTGTGGCACTGCAGGAGGCCCAGGATGGACATGTCATCTGAGGAATGGGAGGGGGAGTTGAAATGGTTCGCGACTGGGAGGTGCAGTTGTTTATTGCAAACCGAGCGTAGGTGTTCTGCAAAGTGGTCCCCGAGCCTCCGCTTGGTTTCCCCGATGTGGCCTCACCAACTGAACCTTCCCCTGGACCATGACCCCACACTGGAACATCAGGATATTGTGTCCACTGTGGTCACTAACATCATTTCATGTGGTGATCCCACCTCCAAGCTGATAGTTTTCCCCCAATCCTGAACAGTTCATTTCTACCCCCGTCCCCAAATCCACAAACAGGACATCCTGGGCAGACCCAATTCTTCTGCCTGCTGCAGCCCCACAGAACTGATCTTGTCCTACCTCAACTTGGTTTTCTCTCCCCTTGTTCAGTCCCTGCCCACTTGTGATTCCTCTGACGCTTAATGCCAATTTCAGAATTTCCAGTTTGTTGACTCCAACCACCACCTCTTTACCATGGACGTGCACTCCCTTTACACATCCATTCCCCCATTAGGATGGTCTCAGGGTTCTCTGCTCCTTCCTGGGGGGGGAATCAAGCCTGAACTATCCCCATCCAGCAACAGCCTCCTCTACTTGGCCGAGCTCATCCTCACTCTGAACAACTTCTTTTAACTCCTCTCACTTTCTTCAGGGCAGGGGCTGGCCATGGGCCTTAGTTATGTATGTCTCTGAAGGGTATCTGGAACATTTCGTGTTGTGGTACTTTTCTGGCCCCTACTCACAACTTTCTTTGGTATATCAATGATATCATTGGCGTTGCTTCCCTCTCTAATCTGGAATCGGAAAAGTTTACCAATTTTGCGTCCAATTTCCTCCCTGCGCTCTCATTCACCTGGTCCACCTCTGACTTCTCCCTTGCCTTCTTTGACATCATCTGTTTCCATTTTTGGGGATAGGGTGGCTACTAATATCCACTACAAACGCACTGACTCCCACAATTACCTTGACTATACATCCTCACACCCTGCTTACTAAAAAGATTCTATTCCATTCTCCCAGTTCCTCTGTCTCCATTTCACTGGTTCTGATGATGTCAACTTCGCCAAGGGTGCGTCTGAAATGTCCACTTTCTTGCTCAAATAAGGATTCCCTAGCACCATAGTTGATAGGGCCCTCAGCTGGATCTGACCTTAGGCCTTCTCCTCGTCTCTTCCCACCCATAACGCGATAGGGTTTCCTTTGTCCTCACCTACCATCTTACCAGCATCCACATCCAGAGGATCGTTCGCCACAATTTCTGCCACCTCCACTGTGATGCCGCCACTAGACACATTCCCTCTCCAATCTTCTACCACCCCTCCCCGTCAGCCTTCCAAAGGGACCATTTCCTCTGGGACAACCTGGTCCACTCCTCTTGCACTCCCAACACCCCTCACAGCCCCACAGCACCTTCCCATGCAACTGCAGAAGGTGTAACACCTGTCCTTTTACTTCCTACCCCTCAGTATCCAAGGTTACAAGCACACCTTCCAGGTGAAGCAGTGCTTCACTCCATCTAGTCTACTGCATTCACTGCTCCCAATGTAGTTTCCTCTACACAAGGAAAACAAAGCATAGACTGGTGACTGCTTTGCAGAACACCTACATTCTGTCAGCAAAACAAGTCCCTGAGCTTCCAGGTGCCTGCCACTTCAACACACCACTTTGTTCCCTGGCCAATGTCTGTCTTGGGCTTGCTACAGGGTTCCAGTGAAGTTTAGCGCAAGCTGGAAGAACAGCCCCTCATTTTCCACTTGGGGACCCTGCAGCCTTCTAGACTCGATATTGCGTTCAAAAGGGTCACCGGACCTGAAACGTTAACTCTGACTTTTCCTTCACAGATGCTGCCAGACCTGCCACGCTTTTCCAGCAACTTTGTTTTTGTTCCAGCTTTAAGACTTGAACTGTCCCATGTTCTTACCCCTACCCGCACACACCAGGCCTTGTTATCACACAGACAGCTATTACACTCAACCCATTGTTAGTCACTAACAGTCCCTACTAATAGCTATTTACCCTCCCAGCCTGACCGTTATTCACTCCTTTGTCTGTCCAACTGTTCTTTTCTCTTTCTTTGGGCTCTATCTCCACCTACTGTTTCCTCCTTATCCCCTCCCTCCACCCTGTCTTCTGCATAAAAATTGACTTTTTCTCAGCTACCATCAGTTTTGAGGAAGGGTCACTTGACCTGCAACGATAACTCTGATCTCTCTCCATAGATGCTGCCAGACCTGCTGAGCTTTTTCCAACAGTTTGCTTTTGTTTACGGCATCACTGTTTTGTATAGCTGCAACAAACCGTCCCATCTCCTATGCTCAATGGCCTGACAGATGAAAGCAAACATCACTTTAAATCTGTATCATCATCTTGTTTCTCCCTATCTCCACTATCTAGCCTGCTCATGATTTTGAAAACCTTTATCAAATCTCCCCTCAGCTGCCCTCTCTCCAAGGACAGCAGTCCCAAATTCTTCATCTATCTTCTTAACTTTCTTATCACTAGAACCATTTTTGTAAATCACTTCTGCATTCTCTCCAATCCATTCTCAACTTTCCTAGAATGTGGTGCCAAAACTGTACACAATACTCTAGCTGAGGTCTAACAAGGTCTTGATACAAGTTGTATCTTGTACTCTACATCCCTGTTTATAAAGCTGAGGATACTGAATGCTTTATTTACTGCTCTCTCTGCCTGTCCTGCCACCTTCAGTGATCTGTGCATATGTAGAGCCAGGTCCCTCTGCTTCTGCACTCCCTGTAATAATGTGACTTTGTGCAATAGGGTTAACAACTGCTAACATTTCTCCCTCTTTGTTGCCCAAGGACCCAAACACACACTCCAGGTGAAGCAGCATTTTAATTGTAGTTCTTTGAATCTTGTCTACTTTACTCACTGCTCATAGTGTGATATCCTTTACACTGGCAGGAGGAAACATTGTCTGGGCGACTGCGTTATGGAGCACCTTCACTCTGTAGGAATGACCATGAACTCCCAGTTGTTTGCCTTTTCAATAAACTGCCTTGCTCTCAGGCTAACATTTCTGTCCTAGCCACAAGACAATGAAATGAAAGAATTAATATTCTGTTTTATTTGAAGTGGTCTGGTCCATGTTGTAAAGGTTTAAATTCTTTCATGCGTTTATCACAGAGAGGCTACGCCGGATTCAAAACAAGAAAAGGCATCAGGGAGGGTTTTGCTTTGGAGTCAGCTTATGTTTCATTCCAGCATGACCAACTCTCTTAGCCTGGGCTCCAGATTTCAAAATGGTGAAAGGGAAAAGTGCTGTGGTGCTCAGCGGTGTCATTAGATAGCTGTGGGGCACCTTCTTTTCTTGGATTCCCCCAAAAAAAGATCAGCAGCTTGAGGAAAGTGGATACAAACATAAAGATAAAGTTGCTATGAAGTGGCTAGTACACAGATTTTATAGCACATGCCCATCTCTGGCAGAATGGTTGCAGAGTAGAAAATATAACATTCTCACAGACTCGCACAATCCTGGTGCAGGAAATTACTACAGTTCTACATTAAGCAAAATAACGCAATAAAAATTTGATTGAAATAAGCTTTCTAGGCAGCAAAAATAAACACACAATTAAATTCTGTCAAATGTTTTTTCTGATGTGCCTTAAAAGGTAGGGGTAAGATGTGCTATTTGTTTTGGTATTTTGCACAATTGAAATTAAAAAGAGAGTAGGAGTTGTTGTACCTGGGGCAGGGGAGTTAGCCTGAGTGGTTGGGCCAAGATTGAAGTCTAGAATCCGAAGATAGACATGGAAACAAAAAAAAAATCAGGTTTTTCCCTGGTTTCTGGGTGGCAAGTTATTTGAAATGACAGAAAACTGGGCGTTCACAGATGAAGTTCAGTTTCTGATCACACAAGTGGACATTCCATCTCCCATCACTCTTCATACCGCCACAAGCTTCATAACTCCTAAGATCTTTCGGTTCGCCAGGAGCCCAAAACCTGAACAATAATAAAAAAAAAATCAGTGAACAAGACTTACACTTACTTCACCAGTAGGCGCTATCCTGACTGGCAATTCCACAAAACTGACCCCTTGCCAAAAATAAAAGCCTGTTAAGATTCAGTGAATTGTCTCTCCTCTGTCAGTTTCAAAGAACCCCTATAGTATGGAAACAGGCCCTTCGGCCCAACAAGTCCACACTGACCCTCAGAGCATCCCACCCAGACCCATTGCCCTATAACCCACCTAATCTACACATCCCTGAACACTACAGACAATTTAGCATGGCCAATTTAGACTGTGGAGGAAACTTGAGCACCCAGAGAAAGCCCACGCAGACACAGGGAGAACGTGCAAACTCCACACAGATAGTCACCCAAGGATGAAATTTGAACCCAAGTCCCTGGTGCTGTGAGGCAGCAGTGCTAACCACTGAGCCACCATGCTGCATCTGTGTGATCCTGACTCTTATTAAGAAAGGCGTACATTACAGTGTTAATGCACCTTTTGTAAATCACTAGTTTGACTTCACCTAGAATACTGTGTCCAGTTCTGGGCAACATATAATAGGAAGGATGTTGACATTTCAGAGAGGGTGCAGGGCAAATTGACTAGCGAGGCATCAAGGATGAGGAGAACCAGTTATGTGGGGGGAACTGAACTGGCTGGAAGCAGTAATGTTATAAATATCACATGATTTGTTACTGGTTAGTTAATTGGAGTCAGTGGCAAGGTGGTAATGTCACTGAGCTAGCAATCTGGAGATTCCAGGTTAATATTCTGGGGATGTGAATTCATGGTATTGTGTGAGGGAAATCATGTCTCTCAAACTTGATTGAGTTTTTTGAGGAAGTAACCAGGAAGATTGACAGCAGAACAGTAGAAATTGTTTACTTGGACTTTAGTAAAGCCTTTGACAAGGTTCTACACGGTAGAATAATTAGTAAAGTTAGATCACATGCGAATCAAGGTGAGCTTGGCAATTGGATACAGAATTGGCTTGATGGTATTAGACAGGTGGTGGAGTGTTGTTTTTTAAACTGGAGGCCTGTGACCAGTGGTGTTCCTTCCACAGGGATCAGTGCTGGATCCATTTTTGTTTGTCATTTATATAAATGATTGGGATAGACTATAGAATGCATAGCTAGTAAGTTTGCAGATGACACCAAAATTGGACAGTAAAGAAGACTATCTATGATTACAGAGATTTTGAGCAATTGGGTCAATGGGCTGAAGAGTGGCAAATGGAGTTTAATTTGGATAAATGTGAGGTGTTGCATTTGGGTAGAACAAACAAGGTCAGGACTTATACAATTAAAAGTAAGGCCTTGGGTAGTGTAGTAGAACAGAGAGACCGAGGGATTCAGGTACATAATTCTTTGAAGTTTGCATCGCATTTGCATCACATACAGTGGTTAAGATATTTAGGCTGTGTACCTTCATTGCTCAGACCTTTTGAGTATAGGAGTTAGGAAATTATGTTGAGGTTGTACAAGATGTTGTTGAAGTCTCTTTGGGAGTACTGTGTTCAGTTCTGGTCACCCTGTTATAGGACGTGTGTTAAGCTGGAGAAGGTTCGAAGAGATTTACCAGGATGTTGCCAGGAATGGAGGGTTTGAATGATGAGGAGAGGCTGGATAGGCTGGGACACTTTTCACTGGAGTGTAGGAGGTTGAGGGGTGACCTTATAGAGGTTTATAAAATCACCAGGGGCATAGATAAGGTGTCTTTTCCCTAAGATGGAAGATTTCAAGACTAGAGGGGATATTTTTAAGTTGTGAGGAGAAAGATTTAAAATAGACAGGAGGGGTAACTTTTTTTACACAGAAAGTTGTTCATACGTACAGTGAACTTCCAGAGGAAGTGGTGGATGCAGGTACAGTTACAATGTTTAAAAGACATTTGAATAAGTACATGAATAAGAAATGTTTGGAGGGATATGGGCCAGGCACAGGCAGGTGGGACTAGTTCATTTGGGATTATGGTCAGCATGGACTGCTTGGATTGAAGGGTCTTTTTCCATGCTATATGACTCTATGACTTCACGCTGTGACAACTTGTAGAATTTAAAGTCAATTCAGACATCTGGAATATTTAAGACAATGTTGTGAAACTGATATTGGTTGTTGTAAAACCCTATCGGGTTCAATAATGTCCTTTCAGGAAGGGAATCTGCTTTCTTTACCTGGTCTGGCCTACATGTGACTCCACTAATGTGAGTGAATCTTAAGTGGCCTCTGAAATGCCACTCGAGGGGAATTAAGGATGGGCAATGAATGCCAGCTTTGCCAGTGATGCCTACATCCCATAAAGGAATGAAAATCATGCTGTCCAGGACAGCAGAAAGACATCCACTGGATCTTTCATGTCCACCTGAGAGGGCAACCTGGGGTTGTGATGGAAATACACGTTCCTTCAGGAGTGTATTGGGATGATGGCTTAGATCTTGTTCTTAAGCTTCTGGAGTGAGCGAGAGTGTGAGCCACTGAAACATGCCTCTGATATTGAGGGCTGTGTGTGTGCATGTGCATCAGTGAGACTGGATACAGAGTGTGGTACAGTCAATGGCCCTTTAATTCCTATCCTTGGGATACAGGATTACTGACAGGGATAGAAACCCCAGATTAGACTTGTCAATCTTTTTTTCAAAAAAAAATGTCCATGGAAAGTGAGCCTCGCTGGCTGGACTAGCATTTATTGCTTGTCCCTAGATGCCCTTGAGAAGGTGATGGTGAGCTGCCTTCTTGAAACGCTGTAGGTTGACCCACAATGCCATTAGGGAGGGAGTTCCAGGATTTTGACCCAAGAACAGTGATATATTTCCAAGTCAGGATAGTTCAGAGGGGAGCTTGCAGGCGGGTGGTGTTCCCATATATCTGTTGCCCTTGTCCTTCAAGATGGAAATGGTTGTGTTTGTAAAATACTGTTGAAGGAACCTGGGTAAGCTATTGTGAAAGGTGGACAGAAATAAGAAGCTTCTCCCTACGATCCACACTTGGTGAAGCAAGCACACCTTACTGTATTCAGAATCCTCTTGTGAGGAATTCACCAAACGCCTCATTTTAATCAGATGGCCCTCCAAACAGTGTTGGAGAGTGAGGGCTGCACTGTAAGATGTAACTGCTCTGCCTTGACTAAGACCTGTCCTAGTACAGTAACACCCAGTTCACAACCAATAAGAAAACAGCAAGTAATCACCCAGCTGAAGGGAGGTCACAATACCTGGCCCTGGGTTGTGGGTGGAGTGTAAAGGAAGAGAATCAATTTCTGGCCGTTTGGGCTCTTGACACACATTGCTGGAAGCAACCCTGGTTTCACATTCTTGCTGGTTTACCCTGCATTGTAGTTAGTGAAGATTAACATTGGACAGGAGCATTCCATCTGACTCACTGGGCTTCCTACCTGGGGAATTGGGTTAAAATGGCCCCTGCTAGGTTTCTCATGATTTTACATGTGTACTTCCCACATTTCAGTAGGAGTGTGGCTCAGATCAGTAATTTACATTCATATAATGCCATTAATGTCATTAGGAGCAGAAGGGCAGGTATAGGCCATTTAGTACCTTGGTCATGCTCTGCCATTCTAGCTCATGGCTGGTCATCAACCTCAATGCCACGTTCCCACATTATCCCTGTATCCTGATCTCATCAATAACTGAAATTGATCAGTCTCTGTCTTGAACACACTCATTGACGTTTCTACAGGCCTCTACAGTTGAGAATTCCAAAAATTTACCAATCTCTGAGTAAAGAAAGTCCTCCCAATCTCTATCCTAAACGGCCAACCCCTTATTCTGAGATTGTTCTGTCTAACTGTAGACCATGGGCCATAAGACATAGGAGCAGAAATTAGGCCATTCGGCCCATCGAGTCTGCTTGGCCATTCAGTCATGGCTGATGTTTCTCAACCTCATTCTCTAGCTTTCTCCCTGTAACCTTTCATCTCCTTGACAATCAAGAATCTATCTATCTCTGTTTTAAATGTACTCAATGACCTGACCTCTACAGCCCTCTGTGCCAATGAATTCCACAGATTCACCACTCTCTGGCTGAAGCAGTTTCTCCTTATCTCCGTTCTAAAAAATCTTCCCTTTACTCTCGGGCCCTAGTCTCTACTACCAATGGAAACATCTTCCCAACATCCACTCTGTCCAGGCCATTCAATATTCTGTAAGTTTCAATTAGATCCCCCTCATCCAATGTTCCTCATATGTTAAGCCTTTCATTCCTGGGATCATTCTTGTGAACCTCCTCTGGATTGCTCCAGGGCCAGTACATCCTCCCTGAGGTAATGGGCTGAAAATTGCTCACTATACTCTAAATGTTGTCTGAGCTTTATAAAGCCTCAAAAGTACATCTCTGCTTTTATATTCTAGTCCTCTCAAAATAAATGCCAACATTGTATTTGCCTTCCTGACTACTGCCTCAACCTGCAAGTTTTCCTTGAAAGAAACCTGGACTAGGACTCCCGAGTCCCTTTGCACCTCAGACTTCTGAATTTTCTCCCCATTTGGACAGTAGTCCATGCCTCTATTCTTCCTACCAAACTGCATGACCTCATACTTTCCCATTGTATTCCATCTGCCACTGCTTTGTTTACTCTCTTAACCTATCTAAATCTTTCTGCAGTCTCCCTGCCTCCTCAATACTACCTGCCCCTCCACCTACCTTTGTATCATCAGAAAACTTATCCAGAATGCCCACAGTTCCTTCATCTAGATCATTAATGTATAAAGTGAAAAGTTGTGGTCCCAGCACTGACCCTTGCGGAACATCACTAGTTACCAGCTGCCATCCCGAGAAGGACCCTTTTATCCCCACTCTCTGCTTTCTGCCAGACAGCCAATCTTCTATCCATGCTAGTACCTTGTCTCTAACACCATGGGCCCTTACTTCCTCAGCAGCCCTCCTGTGCGGCACGTTATTAAAGGCCTTCCGGAAGTCCAAATAGATAACATCCATTGGCTGTCCTTGGTCTAACCTGCTTGTTACTTCCTGAAAGAATTCTAACAGGTTTTGTCAAACATAATCTCCCCTTGATGAAGCCATGCTGACTTTGCCCTTTTTTACCATGCATTTCCAAGTATTCAGAAATCTCACCTTCACAATGGACTCCAAAATCTTACCAATGACCAAGGTCGGGCTAATCGGCCTGTAATTTTCAGTCTTTTGCCTTGCTTCATCCTTAAACTGGGAGGGGGGTTACATTAGTGATTTTCCAGACCTCTGGGACCCTCCCTGACTCTGGTGATCCCTGAAAAAACACCACTAATGCCGCTACTATCTCTTCAGCTATCTCCTTCAGAACTCTGGGATGTAGCCCATCTGGTGAATTATCCACCTTCAGAACTTTCAGTTTTTCTAGCACCTTCTCCTTGGTGATAGTCACCATACTCGCCTCTGCCCCCAAACTCTCTTGAATTTTTGGGAGATTACTCGTGTCTTCCACCGTGAAGACTGACGCAAAGTACTTATTCAGTTCCTCAACCATTTCTTTGTTCCCCGTTACTACTTCTCCAGTGTCATTTTCCAGCTGCCCAATGTCCACTTTTGCCTGTCTTTTGCTCTTTGTATATCTGAAGAAGCTCCTGCAATTTTTTTTTTACTGGCTAGCTTACCCTCATATTTAATCTTCTCCCTCCTTATTTCTTTCTTTGTTGCCGTCTATTCGTCTTTGTAGGTTTTCCAATGCCCTTCTCCACATTATACGCTTTTTCTTTTGCTTATAAGCTGTCCCTGACTTCCCTTTGTTAGCTATAGTTGCCTCATCTTCCTTTTAGTACCCTTCTTTTTCCTAGGAATGAATTTTTGCTGTGTATCCTGAATTACTCCCAGAAACTCCCCCCATTGCTATTCCACTGTATTTCCTGCTAGGCTCCTCTCCCAGTCAATTCTGCCCAGCTCCTCCCTCATGCCTCTGTAGTTGCCTTTATTCAACTGTAATACCATCATATCTGATTCCACCTTCTCCCTCTCAAATTACAGAGTAAATTCTATCACATTATGGTCACTACCTCCTAAGGTTTCCTTCATCTTAAGCTCCCTTATCAAGTCTGCCTCATTGCACAACACTTTAAGATTTTTCTGTAAGCTTCAATGAGACTGCCTCTCGTTTTTGTAGAAGATACAGGTCCAGTCTCCTCAATCTCTCCTCATGGCATGCAAAACAATTCTTTTCATTTTATCTCAGTATGTGACAATAACAAAGCAAATGAAATCACCAAACAGTGCTATCATCCCAGGAATCAGCCTGGTGGGCCTCTGCTGCATCCCGCTTGGACAGGTCATTCTTTATTGAGGCAAGGAACCAGAACTGTACACATTACCCCAAGGGGCTGCCTTACCAACTTAAAGTAAGGCTTGCTAACTCTTAGCCTTTATCACAAGATGATTTAGTATAACATTCCTTTTGTATTCTGAATGGCTTGCTCCATCTGAATAAAACTGACTCCGAGATAGTAGGAACTGCCGATGCTCCATCTGAATGCTAGCTTACAGTGATTCATGAACAAGGTCACCAACCCAAAGTAGTAAAATATTCCACACACTCCAACGGAGCATGTGCAAATGGAATTCAATGGCAAGGTACATACAGAGGTGTTAGTAAGCTCTTTCAAAGAGTTATAAAGTAGAGAGATATCCAAGTTATAAAGGGAACTCTACAGCTTAGGGCCAAGAAAGCTGAAGAAACAGCCACAAACACTTAAAATAACTAGAAGCAGGAGTAGGCCATTCAGCATCTTGAGCCTTCCCTGCCATGTAATACAATCGTGGGTGATCTCAGCTCTACTTTCCAGTCTACCCCCCATAATCCTTTAACCCATTACTAATTAAAAGTCTGTTTATCCCCTTCTTAAATTTACTCAATGTCCCAACACCCACCGATTCACATCTCTTTGAGAAAAGTAATTCGTTCTCATCTCTGTTTTAAATCTGCTACTCTTTAGCCGAAAACTATGACCTCTCATTCTAGGCCACCACCACAAAGAGAAACAACTGCTCTACATCTACTTTATCAATCTCCTTTAGCATCTTATTTACTTCAATTAGATCTCCTCTCATTCTCCTAAAGCAACTACAGGCCTAAACTGTTCAATCTCTCCTCATATGACGTGTCTTTCATCTCTGCAATTAATCTATGGATTGAAATCCAGGCTGTTTGAGGGGCCAGGATTAAGGCAGTGCTGATATCTCAAAGTTATTAGGCTGGAGGAGATGACAGATACACAGGGTCCGGATAAAGGCAATTATTTAGGACTGAGATGAAGAGAAATCACTTCACTCAGAGGGTTCTGAATCTTTAGAATTCTCTTCCTCAGAGAGTTGTGGATATTCCATTGCTGAATATATTGAAGACTGGGATCGAGAGATCTTTGGTCTCTCAGGGAATCAGTGAGCTGGCAGGAAAGTGTTGAACCCAGGATCAAGTGTGATCATATTGATTGGTGTAACAGGCTAAATGGGCTGAATGATCTACTCCAGCTCCAGTTTCAGGTGCCATTAGCAGAGTTGGGGGGGGGAAGGGTGTGAGAAAATGCATGGCTTGGAAAATAGGACTTGGGCAAAACCCAATGACATTGGGAACTGACCAACAAAAGGTCAACCTGGGTTTCTGTTTGATGTGCACAGTACAGCATTACAGAGTGAGACAGCACAGAAAGACAGCATGCAGCCCATTGTAACACAAAGACTGAATATATTATAACCTTACTTACTTGAATGTGGTATTATATTGTGTTCCATCCACCCAACTCCAATTATCCATTTTTGTACCACTGAGTCCAATCCAATGTCGAGTTAATCTAATCTCTTTATTCAAAAATCCCTGTGGGTGTCCAAATAAAATTTCAATGTAAGTGCAGTTTTAAAAGAACGATCTGAAAATACTCCAGCACCTTATATCAGTGTCACATAACACTGCAGCCTAGAAATTTGGTAGCAGTCATTAGAATATCTCATGTGACCAGCATCTATGCAAGGATAATTACCCCTGTGTAGGCAAGACATGGTCTGAGGTCCCCTGGACGTTGCCTCTTAGATGATGAGAGCATGAAGATTGTTAATGTGTCTGAGACTTGCTGGTGAACGATGGCCTGGGGGCCACGTATGTGGGGGTGGGTTGGTCTCAGAAGCTGGTGGGGTGGGAGTGGTGGAAATAAACATGGTAACCAGTGCTAGCAGCCAATGGGGTGTGAGAATTGGGGCAGGGACACCTGGGATTGGGAGATCAAAAGTCACAGGGCAGGGATGGCATTAGGAGGTAGAGGATCCTTTAATGTGAGGTCAAGGTGACCATTCCTGCTCTTTAATAGTGTAGGTTAGATGGGCTTCAGATTGTTTTCACAGGTCGGCGCAACATCGAGGGCCGAAGGGCCTGTACTGCGCTGTAATGTTCTATGTTCTATGTTCTAATTCCTTATTAAGATTATCTTTCTCGCTTCTCAGTTCCCTCCAGGCTGAGCTTCTGGCCAGATGGAGCCTGATGACTTCATGGAAAACCAGATTCAGAGTAAGGTTTGAACTAAGTGCTTGGGCCCCAGACCTGCTCCAGACTTGGGGGAAGGACACATCTCATTTCCTACTTTTCTGATAAGCTCACTAGTACAACATTAGCTGAGGTCAATACACATGTACTTCATGTGTACTTCATTTTGGGGACTTAGAAGTATTGGTGGTGCCTGAGGAATCAAGGCTCCAATTCAAGGCTAACAAAGTGTGGAGCCGGAGGAACACAGCAGGCCAGAATTTTTGAAGAAGGGTCCCGACCCGAAATGTCAGCTTTCCTGTTCCTCTTATGCTGCCTGGCCTGCTGTGTTCATCCACTTCTATACTTTGTTATCTCTGACTCCAGCATCCGCAGTTCTTGCTATCTCAAATTCAAGGCTGACCCTTCTGAGGCCTCATGAGTAGCAACTTTCAAACCAATGCTCATCATTACGTTGAGTAGCAAGGAGAATTTCACACAGAGATTCAGTCCATATTTTAACAAGAACAAGTTAAGAGTGGACAATAATTGGAACCTCTCACCTTGTGTATTCACAAGCTATTGTCGTTGTGTTTGCAGCAGGCTGAAGGGAGCAATGATATCTACCATTATGTTAATGGATTTGTGATCGCAGAGGGCCAACAAAAATAATGACAAGCAAAAGCACTGACCCCAATCTTGACAAGAGGCAGGATTTTCCAGAGGGCGGATGAGTTGTGGTTGGAAATGCTTCATTTCTCTTTCCTGGGTTGTGGCTATCACAGGTAGTGCCAGCATTTGGTGCGCATCTCTAATTGCCCTTCGAGAGCTGTTATGTTTCAATCACATCATTGTGGACCTGAAGTCACATCTCAGGCAGACAGATTTTCTTCTCTAAAGAACATTGCTGAACCAGATTGATTGTTGTAAAAACCTATGACAGTTGTCATGGTCGTCACTAGTTAAACCTGTTTTAAAAATCCATAGTTTATTAATTAAATTTAATTCCCACCAAGCCCCAGTGTGGGATTTAAACACACATCTCCAGAGAAATGATCTGGCTGTGGGTTGTTAGTCCAGGGACATTACCACGCTACCATCATCTCCCCACAGAGTTTGTTTCCTATTCAGGAAGCCAGCTTGACAGGCTTGTTCCACACATCCTCCTTGCTGGCTTGGGTGAGAGGGAATGATGGAAGGGAGGGAAGTAAGTTTTGGGGGAGGGGAGGTGAGCAAGGATGTAGCTCACCTGCATTTCTTGGCCCACAAGCTGTGCTGAAAATATACTTGACTCTTCCATTCGGAAATTTTAACCTCCCATTAGCTGCAGGGCTTCCTGATGCCTGTAAAACCCAAACGGCCAGGGAGAGAGTTACGTGAGGAGATGGTGATGTAGTGGTAGATAGGTCTGGGAATCTGGATGCTTGAGTTAATGGTTTTGAGATGTGCATTCAAATTCCACCCTAGCAGCTCCTGGAATTGAAAACTAACCTCAGTGATGGTGAGCATGACATCTGTTATCAATGATCATAAAAGCCCATCTGGTTCAATAGGGTCCTTTAGGCCATCCTTACCTGGTCTAGCCCAGCCTATGTGTGCCTCCAAACATACAACAATGTCATTGATTCTTAATTGTCTTCTGAAATGGACCCAGTTCAAAGGCAATTAGGGATGGTCAATGAATGCTGGCCTTGTCAGTGATGCCACAGCCAATGAAAGGATCTAAGTCATGGAGACTTATTATAATTAGTCCATCCTGAGAGCAGGTTGGTCAGCTGGTCCCAGTGTCGTGTCTGCATTATACCCAGCAACATGCCAGTTTGAGATTTTTAACATGTTACTGTCCCACCCATCTGCAAAGATAACTAGTCCCATTCTGTGTATGTGGGAAATCCTCAGATCCCTCTCTCCTGATCTTCTTTCACCAAAACTGTAATGGCAATCCTGGTTACACCAGGAGCCAGGGCGTCATCTGGCCTTCCAGGGAAGGTCTGGGAGCAGCTGCGAGGGATTTTTCAGGCCATTGATGTCACCTTGAGAGACTTCCAGAAAAATTCTAACCTGTTCCTCGGCGCTGTTAATCACAACCAGATTGGACGTGTTTGATAAGCAGAATCTCTGTGATGTTGACCAGTCTTCTGTGTTTGGTGAGAAGTAATAACATTTTTGGTGGAATTCTTTCCATTCGTCAGGACACTCTAATCGACACTGACCTGTGAAGGAGAATCAATCACAGAGTTGTTATAGAATAGATGGTGGCCATTCAGTCCTTCGTTTGTGTCCTGGACCCCTGAATCAACGATGCACTTAGTGTCATTATCCTGGCTTCTCCCTGCAGCTTTACATAGAACAGTACAGTACAGGAGCAGGCCTTTTGGCCCACTATGTTGTGCTGAACATGACTCCAAATTAAACGAATCCCTTCTGCTTGCCCTTGCTCCATGTTTCTCATTTCCAGGTAATGATCTAATTCCCTTTTGAAAGCCTCGATTGAATCTGTCTCTACAACGCTTTCGGGCAGTGCATTCTAACCAATCGTTATGTGAATGGGCTTTTCCATGTGTCGTTATTCAACCTCTCTTCATAAGATTATTCCTCCATACCTAGTGTTAACTTAGTGAACTGGACTGCCTTGAATGCCATTATATGTTTCCTTAGATAAGGGGTCAAAACCTGTATCCAATATTCCAGTGCTTCTACCAGAGATAGCATTTTTTGCTTGATTTTAATTTGGTTTAAGCTTTATTGTCACATGTACTCAAGTTCAGGAGTACAGTGAAAAGTGTACAACGTTGCCGCACACGGTGCTTTCTTAAGTATAAAGGTACATAAGTACAAGCAGTAACATGGAGAAACAAAGTTAAAAATAAAACATTACCATTTTTCTTGGAGTAGAAGAAATAAAGTTAACTTTTAACGTTACAGTTCTTCATGGTATTAAGTGGAAAAATAAAGGAATAAACATGAAAGTTCAACAGTCTTTCTTAAGTGCGCTCCCTGCAAGGGCTCGGTCTCCTCTGCTTTGGCCTGCTCTGGACTCTGCACATGCCAGGGAATCTCCCTCACCAACACTTTGGGCTCGCTCTGACTATATTGGGCTCAGGTCCACAGCCACTTCCACACAGTGGACATCCAGCTGACACTGCTCTGGTCCCACAGAGGCTGCCACACTCCCTGTGATGCCATTGCTGCTGCAGCCTCTGTCTGCAGAACACCAGAAAGTAAGTTCTATCAAATCTCCTCTCAATGTTGTCTTCCCTGAGGCTAACAGTTCCAACATCTTGGCTGTAGCTACAAAACTGAAACAGTTACTTCCAACTCGTATCCCCATTAGGGAAGTATCGGCGTGCACTCAGGTCCATTTTACACTCGCAACTCCGTAGCTTTTACACCTGGGTCACTTCCTTACCTAGAGCCTAAACTTTGAACACAAGGGCAGTCAGGGATCACAGGCTAGATAAATTGCCAGAGAGAGTGGGTAAACGGGGCACTGTATTTCACCCCTCTGCCAGCACCACAACTTGCCTCAACTATCTCTGCTTCCCAGAAGGAAAAGATGACTGACAGGGAAAAGCCCAGTTCCTGATAGTTGTCTCCTCTTCTCTCCCGTGTGGTATTGATGATCCTTGGGCTGGTCAGGCTTTGGCTGGCATTGTGTGAAAGAAGCCCTAAGATGGTGCCACCTGCTCCTGAGGACACAGTGAGCCCAACTAAGGAGTTACCATCGTCCAGAGACCAGTAACAGAGACTGGGAATGATAACAGTAATCTGACAACTGGTCTGGGATGACTGAGTTAACCTGGTAACTGGTTCTGGATATGAGTGTGGTAACCTGGAAACTGGGATTGGGAATGGCAGCGGTAACCTGGTAACCCTCCACCACAGGTCTGTATTTAAGATGTTCACTGATGCTTTCACAGTGTTCAGCACCATTCATGACTCCTCCAATATAGGAGCAGTCCATGACTACTATATCTAGAAAGAACTGGACATTGTTCATTGGGTTGATAACTGCGAAATAACATTCACATAAAACTAGTGTCAGGCAATGACAATCTCCAACAAGAGAGAGTGTAACCATCTGCCATTAGCAATTCAATGATATTGCCATCACTGAGTTCCCTGCTCTTAATGTCCTGGGGTTTACCATTGACCATCCATATCAATACTATGAATACAACAGCAGGTCAGAGGCCAGGAATCCTGTAGTGAGTAACTTACCTCCTGACTCCTCAAAGCCTGTCCACTATCTACAAGGCACAAGTCAGGAGTGTGATGGAATGCTCCCCACTTTCCAGGATGGGTGCAGCTCCAAAAACACTCAAAAAGCTTGACATCATTCATGACAAAGCAACCCGCTTGACTGGCACCACATTCACAAACATCCACTCCTTCTACGACCGAAGCTCAGTAGCAGCAGTGTGTACTGTCTACAAGATACATGGCAGCAACTCACCTACGTTACTTAGACAGCACTTTCCAAACCCAAAATATCTACCATCTAGAACGACATAGGCAGCAGGTACATGGGAACGCCACTTCAACAAATCCCAGTCGCTAATGCATGCACAAGCATCTCCCTACAGCATACTGCAAGTGCTCCTCTGTTATAGCAAATGTAGCCTTATATTGGAAACATTTACCTCTTTTTGTAACTTGAGATCATCCTAACTCGCAAGAACTGCTGCGGTTTGTGAAGATGGCTCAGCACCACCTTCTCGAGGGCAGTTAGGAATAGCCAATAAATATTGGCTCAGTCAGTGATTTCCATGCCCACTGTATGAATAGAGGCTGTGATCTCACCAGCTGTTGGTGCGGTAGACATCCCGGGTAAGCATGGAGGGTCACGGTGGTGCTGGATACAAGTCAGGTCATGGTAGATATAAAGAGCTCAAATGTACCACAACATCTAGGTCAAACTCTCCCCAGGCATATCTCCTTGCCCAGACAGAAAAAAACAATGCAAAAACAGTAATGCTTGGTAATGAACTGTAGCTCCATTTTAAAGTACACAAGATCAGGCACACCAGTACATATCATTCACTTTACTGGTCTTTCCTTCAGGTGACAGAGATGGTTAGAAATAGAGGTCCTGCGTAAAACTCAATTCTTTTGGTGTTGAATATTTAATATTGCCTGTGTAGCTTGAGATCTCATTTAACTGTGTTATGGTAGTAAATGGCCTTCTAGAAATCTCTACCACTTGAAAACAAATAAAAGGTCACACGAATCATTGAGGCATTGAAATGACATCAAAGGTTTATCAGGTCCATGTTACCACAATGCAGTGTTTGGGAGAACAGCATGTTTTGGCCTTAGAAGGAACGAAAAAGAGCCAGGAGGTCATCTGACATAATGGAGTAGTTGTGGACCACATGGTCATTGACCAAAAGGGTACAGAAAATTTATTGACACAGTGCTAGCTACCAGCCCCGATTAACAGTGTATATCAACAAGTGCTCCAGGGCAGAGGGGAGTCCTCATTGGATGTTCTTTATAGGTGGCAGTCCTTGTTAGGGAGCTGACCTCCACAGATGGACGATGGAGCAGACAAAGAGGAGGAAGGTACAGGGAAGAGTAACACTTTGGTTAGATACCAGGATCCTTCACAACTTTAACAAGATCAAAACCCTCTGCACCAACAGCCTATGTCTCTTCTGGTATCAGTGAACCTTCCCAAATTATCATAGCCATATATATCCTTTGTCTAAATAACTTTTGTATCCTTTCTAAACTGCATTTTTAGAAAAAAAAACTAAATAAACTATCTGAGAATTGCTTACACATTTTCGACTCCTATATTAGGTAACTGTGATCATGAATCTTCCAGTGAGCCTTGTGGGATAGGCAGGCAATTTTAGGATAGCTTATTAAGTTTCTTCACTTAACGAGCATATGAATTGTCTAATGCATTTTGCATACCAACAGACAAGGTAGCTGAAAGTATTTCAGGGGTTGCACCAAGTCTTCCCAGAGCTACTTACAGTTCTCCTTTATTCCTTTCAGCTGATCTATAATGTCGTTGTGTGTTTGGCGTATTTGCTGATCCAAATTTGCCACTGAAAATGAAACACAGTGTTAGTACTAATGCTGCAGGCACTGTTAATAGCAATCTCAACTGAACCAGGGTATCAGCAGAGGTACACAGTTCCCGAGGTAACAAGAAGACTTGTGCCACCTTCTAAGGTCAGGTTTCTGCTGTCGATCCTGGTGGATGGTGGAACACGATGTGGCAGAGCGAGCAATTAAACAATGGAGCAAATCTTCGAATTATAAATCCACATTTGCAACAGAGGCATCCAGACTAGGATGCAGTCAGTCTCTGGAGTCTGTGTGTCAACAGGGGTGGATCATCTGGCCTCGATAACTAAGGACAAGAGGAGGCTTAAAGTGGCTATGTCTCTCCCTGTGGTCAGTGCCTCAGTGGTAGTACTCTCACCTTTAAACCAGCTGGTTTTGAGCACAGTTTGCAGCCTTGACCTCCAGTGAGATACTGAGGGACTGCTGCAGTGCTGGAATGCTGTCTTTCAGGTGCCCTTCATCCAGAACTGGTGCAGCAGTGCCTCCATGGGGAGCAGGACTGAATTATGTTGTGACTGGTTTACATACGAAATTCCAACTGCAAATAGTCGATGCACAGGATATTAAAACAAATGGGGTTGATGGTAATTCACACAGGTGAAAGACTGAATAAAAGTCTACCTTAGTTTTAGAACTCAGACATGTTCAGACTGAATGAAACAGAAATAAAATAATTATTTTACTTACTGTCATTTTTTATCTTTGACTGACTGTGCTTCACATCTGCGGACACTGATGAAACTGCAAATAAAAGCAAATTTTTATGCAGGGTCTTTTGGTTGTAACATGAGATAATTGTGCCATTTACACACTTGTCATATGGCGAGAAGTGATTTTCCTGTACAATGCAACCATCTCCCAGAATAGAATAAAAGTTGACTTCTCCACTTCATCAGTATATTTGATGGGAAAGTGTGTGATATCAGGAGTCTGATGGAATACTTCCCACTTGCCTGGATCAGTGCAGCTCCAAAAACACTTGAGAGACTTGACACCATCCAGGAAAAAGCAGACCACTTGATTGGCATCACATTCACAAACATCTCCACCACCAATGCTCAGTAGCAGCAGTGTGTACTATCTACAAGATGCACTCCAGAAATTTACCAAAGATCCTTAGACGGCACCTTCCAAACCCATGACCACTTCCATCTGGAAGGACAAAGGGCAGACGATATACGGGAACACCACCACAGGCAGGTTCCCCTCCAAGCCACTCACCATGCTGACTCTAATCTGATGGATTCTATGGATCTGCCCTCAGAGTGTAGGAACTAAGTGACAGAACTAAGTGTTGTCAGACACTCAAACATGACAAGGGGTCCCAGAGGAGTTTTCCCAGTAGCTGAGGACTATTTCCTCATAGGTTGAGTGATTTACATGAAGCAAAGTTCCAGCTCTCAAAATACCCCAGGGCAGCAGGCAGCTTTGCCATCAAACTGTTGGGAAAAGAAGTCGTACAGATGACCAATCATAGAAAAGTTATCAGCTTCCACTGATGAGGCAGAATCGGTGAGGAGCTGCCCCTCTGATCACAAGCTGCTTCCTTCCCACACTTTCTACTGATAAGTTCACGAGTGAGGCAGATGGAAGTATAGGGACATTGCACAGTGTGCGGGGAGGGGGAGATTGCAAAAGGGAGTAGAGAGAGACTGCAGGGTGGAGAAAGGTACGCTGTGGGGAGGAGGCTACAAACCAAAGAGAGTGGTTTTAAACTTGTACAGCTAACTGGAAGCCGGGCAAACCTGAGGTAATGCACTTCTCGAAAATGAATCTGGACTGTCTAGCTTAAAGCTGCACAAATTCAGGAGCATACTGCAATCTTGAAATTTGCTCCTTGGCATTTATCGACTTTAGGCGAATCATGAGTTCCCACAGGGATTGGTTTTAAAGCTGGACTTAGGATTCTATTAATATTCTATGATCCTGTTCATATTTTAGGATCCTATTAATATTTTCTTATCCTAGGGATATTTTCTTGTTTGAAAAAAGTGTAAAAATTTTAATATTACACCACACAAGTCCAGCACTGTGCATTCCCAACTGCAATAACTTGAAAACCAAAATACATACTTAAGGTAACAGAAATACAACATTTTAAAAATACATCAATATTTTGTACATTGTATTTTTAGGTTTACCCGGGTCCTTCTAGTGGCAGAGGTTCGTCGGTGCAGGCACCACCTCCACCCAACAATACTTCACTAGTTACGGAGCATTCATTGGAAATGAGAATAATAAGAATAGCATCTGAATGGACCAGCTGAATGGCAAAGGGGGAGGCCTAAGTCAGAATAGAGGGTGAGAGGGAAAGCTGGGGCAAGGCATGATGGCTCAGTGCTTAGCACTGCTGCCTCTGCGCCAGGGACCCGTATTCCATTCCACCCTTGGTGACTGTGTGGAATTTGCACATTCTCCATGTGGCTGTGGGGTCATCTGCTGGGTGCTCCGGTTTCCTCCCTCAGTCCAAAGACGTGCAGGTTAGGTGGATTGGCCGTGCTAAATTACTCATAGTGTTCAGGGATGTGTAGGTTAGGTGGGTTAGCCAGGGGAAATGCAAAGCTGCAGGATAGGATAGAGGGATGGATTTGGATGGAATGCCTTTCAGAGGTTCGGTGTGGGCTTGTTGGGCCAAATGGCCTGTTTCCACACTGTAGGGATTCTATGAATCCTTCATCTGCGCTGACTTCACTCAAGGCAGAGGGAGGCAAGGCCTGGCAGCAGGATGTAAGGCCAAATGCGAATGGAAAGCAAGACCAGGGCCAGGGAGGCAATGGTGTTAAATTGGAAAGGTCAAAATAATTTGATGAAATGGATGTAAAAAGAAATGAAATTAAATGGAATGAGGTTAAACTGGGCACCATATAAGAAGCACGGCTTCTAATTTTTAAAAATTAATTCATGGGATATTGTTAACATTTATCAGTACAAATACAGAAGAAACATAGAAGAAGAGCCATTTATTTTAAAGGAATACAGTATAAACGTAGGGAAGTGCTGATGGAATGCTACAAGGCATTAGCGAGACCGCATCTGGAGTATTACATACAATTTTGATCCCCTTACCTGAGGAAGGATGTAATTACATTGGAGGCAGTTCAGAGAAGGTCCACTAGATTGATTCCAGAGGTGAGGGGTTTGTCGTATGAAAAATGATTGATCAGTTTAGGCTTATACTCTCTGGAGTTTAGAAGAATGAGAGGAAATCTAATTGAGGTATATAAGACGCTAAACGGGATTGACAAGATAGATGTAGAGAAGATGTTTCCCCTTGTTGGGCAAACTAGAACAAGAGGTCACAGTTTTAGGTTAGGGTGCCAAAGATTTAAAACAGAGACGAGGAGAAAAGGGTTTCTCAAAGGATTGTGAATCTGTGGAATGCACTACCCTAGAGTGTGGTGGATGGTGAGACATGGAATTAATTTAAGGAAGAGATTGACTAATTTTTAATTAGTAGTGGATAAAAGGGTTATGACGAATGGGCAGGAAAGTGGATGAGATCAACCATTAGCCAGAATACCAAAACTGGGAACTTAATATTCAGGAGTATTTGCTTGGGATGACTGGCAAGTTGGAGGTTTTCAAAAGTGAGATAACGAAAGTTCAGAGGCGGTATGTTCCTGTTAGAGTGAAGGGTAAGGCTGATAGGAGTAGGGAACAATGAATGAATAGAGATGTTGAGGCTCTGGTCAAGAATAAGAAAGAGGCATATGTCAGGAATAGATCCCACTTCCTGGGATCAAGTGAATCTCTTGAAGAGTATGGGGGGCGGGGGTGCGTGGAGGCATTCTGAAGAAGGAAATCAGGAGGGCAGAAAGGTGGTATAAGATAACCTTGGCAGATAAGGTTGAGGATAATCTAAAGAGGTTCTACAAGTATATTAAGGGCAAAACAGCAACTCAGGAGAGAATAGCGTCCCTTAAATATCAATGAAGTCGTTTATGTGTGGAACCACAGGAAATAGGAGAGATATTAAATGAATAGTTTGCTTCAGTATTCATGTGGAGAAAGACATGGAAACTAGGCAACTCGGGGAAATAAATATTGACGTCTTGAAAACAGTCCACGTGACAGAAGAAGAAGGTGTTGGAGATCTTAAAATGCATAAAGGTAGATAAAACTCAGGGACCTGATCATATGTATCCTAGGACACTCTGGCAAGCTAGGGAAGAAATTGTGGGGCTCCTACTGGAGATATTTGTATCATGTACAGCCATGGGTGAGGTACCGGAAGACTGGAGAGTGGCTAATGCACCTATTGCACCTTTGTTTAAGAAAGGCTGCAAAGAGAATCTTGGGAACTGTAGACCGGTGAGTCTGATGTCAGTTGTTGGAGGGGATTCTTAGAGACAGGATTGACACGTATTTGGAAAGGCAAGTACTGATTAGGGATTGTCAGCATGGCTTTGTGCATGAGAAATCGTGTCTCACAAACTTGATTGAGTTCTTTGAGGATTGAATCAAGAAGATAAACGAGGGCAGAGCAGTAGATGTTGTCTACATGGAAGTTAGTAAGGCCTTTGACAAGGTTCCACATGGTAGATTGGTTTATAAAGTTAGATCACGTAGGTTTCAGGGAGAGCTTGCCAATTGGTTAGAAAATTGGCTTGACAGTAGGAGACAGAGGATGGTGGTAGAGGATTGTTTCTCAGACTGGAGGTCTCTGATCAGTGGTGTTCCACAGGGACTGGTGCTGGGTCCGTTGTTGTTTGTCATTTATATAAACAATGTGGATGAGAATATAGGAAGCACGGCTAGTCAGTTTGCGGATGACACCAAAACTGGTGGCATAGTAGACAGTAAGGAAGGTTACCTAAGACTACAAAGGCATCTTGATTGATTGGGCCAATGGCCTGAGGAGTGGCAGATGGAATTTAATTTAGATAAATGTGAGGTGTTGCATTTGTTAAGATGAACAAGGACAAGACTTACACAGTTAAAGGCAAGGCCCTAAGGTGTGTAGAAGAACAGAGAGACTTGGGGTTCAGGTACATATTTCATTGAAAGTTGCGTTACAGATAAACAGAGTAGAAAAGAAGGCATTTGGCATACTTATTTTATTGCTCAGAACATTGAGTATAGGAGTTGGGACGAAATGTTGTGGTTGTATAGGATGTTGCTGAGGCCAATTTTGTAATGTGCAGTTCTGGTCACGCTGCTATAGGAAGAATATTATTAAATTGGAGAGGATGCTGAAAAGATTTACCAGGATGTTACAGGGACTGGAGGGTTTGAATTATAAGGAGGGGCTGGATAAGCTGAGATGTTTTTCACTGGAGTATAGGAGGTTGAGACGTGACCTGGAAGAGGTTTATAAAATCATGAGGGGCATAGATAAAGTGAATAGCAAACATCTTTTCCCATAGTTACAGCATTTAAAAGACATTTAGATAGGCAGAATGAATGGGAAAGGTTTAGAGGGATTTGGGCCAACCGCAGGCAAGTGGGACTAGTTTACTTTGGGAAACTTGTTCGGCATGGACTAGTTGGACTGAAGAGACAGTTTCTGTGCTGTATGACTCTATGACTCTAAGAGTACAATGTGGGAAAAAGGCAAAGTTGCTCATTTTGGAATGGAAGACAAATGACAGGATATTATTTAAATGGAGAAAAACTACAAAAAGCTGCAACACAAAGGGACTTGGGGACCTTTCCAATACAGTTCAATATAGGACAGGAACAGGCCCTTCAGCCCACCAAGCCTGCACCAATCTTAATCCTTATTTAGACCTGCTACTTATTGCCCATGCACAGTATCTATCCTTCTGTTTGCCTCACATTTATGTGTCTATCAAGATACACCTTGAGCGTTGCTAATGTGCCTGCTTCGACGTCCTCCACTAGCAGTGTATTCAAGGCACCCACCACCCTCTGTGTGAAAACATTTCCCCACACTTCTACCCTAAACTTTCCACCCGGTGAAAAAGCCTCTGGCTATCTACCCTATCTATGCCTCTCACAATTTTGTAGACCTTTATCAGGTTGCCCCTCAGCATCCGTCTTCCCAGTGAAATAGTCCAAGTTTATCCAATTTCTCTTCATAACTAAAGGGTGAACCTTCTCTGCACCCTCTCCAAAGCACCCAGTTCCTTCTGGTAGTGTATCAATAAGAACTGCACGCAATATTCCAAATGAGGCCGAAATAAAATTTCATACAGCTGTAAAATAACCCACCAACTTTTGTATTTGATGCCCTGGCTGATGGAGGTAAGCGTTCTGTATACCTTCTAGAGCACCTTATGCGCCTGTGTTGCCTCTTTCAGATCTGTGGACCAATACGCCCAGATGCCTCTCTAGGTCGATGCTCCTAAGGGTTCTGCCATTTATTGTATAATTCGCACCTGAATTTGATCTTCCAAAATGCATCACCTCGCATTTGTCCGTATTAAACTCCACCTGCGATTTCTGTGTCCAAATCTGCAATCTATCTACATCCTGCAGGCTTGAGGGGCCAGACGACTTACTCCTGCTCCTACTTTTTGTCGAATTATGGTCTTGAATTATGGATTGTATTAAATGGAGGAGTAGGCCCGAGGGGCTGAATTGCCTAGTCCAGCTCTGAGTTCTTCTGTTCTTATGTTAAGAGGTGACTGCATCATCTAAGAAAGAACTTAGTGAGAAAGGGAACTTCTGAAAACCAAAGACAGCCCACAAAAATCAAAAAGTAGCCTTTGTGAATATTTCAAATCTAGAATCAAGATGGTTGGATGGAGTTAGAATATGGATCAGCCATGATCCAGTTGAATGTTAGAACACACTTAAGAGGCCTCCTCCTTTAGCTCCATCACTTCCAGATGATTGCAACATAAACACTGAGATGGGTTAAAATGGAGCAGCTAGAGAGGGGCTGCCTATCATTAACATGTACATGCTTCCATTGTGCCACCAACAATGCTGGGCATAAATTGAGGATGAGATACTTGGCAGAACAGCTACACTGGAGACGACTGAGCAGGAGCCAAGTGTAACAGCAGGACACACTTGCTGCGATGTCGTGATGTAACCCACAATAGTTCTCAGGTGAGTTGTGAACTGCAATGATTAATGCTCAGGAGTTAGTTTGAATCTCTTCACTCTCTGAGCTCAGTGACACAGAGGCCAGTCTGTCCTCTCTATAAAGATGTATAAGATGGACTTACTGGCACTCAGTACATCTCTCTGTCCTTGCTGAAACTGCATGTGCCCACTGTGTATATCATTGGTCAGCTCTGCAAAGAAAGACAAACATTGGTTCAGTCATCAGTCAACAGTGAGCAGGGCACCATGTGATCCAAACGTGCCCAGCACAGTGGGTTCCAAACACATTTTACACAGTACAATCCAAGCACACCCAGCACAGTGTGATCCAACATGCCCAGCTTAGTGCGATCCAAATATACTTTACACAGTGCGATTCAAACGTGCCCAGCACAATGTGATCCAAACTCACCCAGCACAATGTGACCCAAACACGCCCTGCACAGTGCGATCCAAACATGCTCTACACAGCGTAATGCAAACATGCCCAACACAGTGTGATCCAAACGTACTCTACACAGTATAATGCAAGCATGCCCAGCACAGTATGATCCAAACTCACCCAGCACAGTGCGATCCAAACATACTCTACACAGTGTAATGCAAGCATGCCCAGCACAGAGCAATCTAAACATGCCCAACACAGTGCAATCCAAACACGCCCAGCCCAGTGCAATCCAAACACACTCTACACAGTGCGATTCAAACATACTCTACATAGTACGATCCCACCGCTGCTTTGTGCGATCCAAAGTACACTCTGCACGAATATGAACAAAATTTGACCCTGACATTGCTCAATCCAACATTTGTTAAATTAGAATACTATTTTAACCTTTTTTCGTTTGTGTGGAGGGTCTGCAGAAGGAAGGTTGCACCGAATCCTCAGTGGGATCCTGCGCCTTGCTTAGAGTCTTAATGGACATTCACTTTTTTATCCGATAGCCCCAGATTCTCGGTTGGGGAAAGGGGGTGAAACTCCAGGGTCTCATATCTTCATGTTTCCCTGCTTTTAACTATAAGGCAGTGGTTCACATTACAATCCAACAGCATGACACAGGAATCCATTCTACTGAACCCTGATACTATAATAACGCCTGACTCACTCTGTGGCCCAGTGCTCTGTACTCTGACACCCCAATAACCCCTGACTCATTCTGTGACCCAGTGCGCTGTAACCCATACCCCAATACCCCCTGACTCACTCTATGACCCCATTGCTTTAAAATCAGTGCGGCATCAGGAGCCCTAGGCTGCTTTGAAGGACAACATATTAGAACATGTGTTGAGACAGGTATCTATAAAAATCACTAGCCTAGACTGAATCAAATGAAACAAAAACACAGAATGTGGCCATTCTATCCACTGAACCAGTGCTATCACTTCTGTAGATTTTTCAAGTTAGTCCCAATATCCTGCTCTTTCGCCATTGTCTATTAAAATAAATCCACCCATTAAGATTTTACAAGGCTCTAGATGCATTCAGTAGATGCAACAGACGATCATCTGTCTGGCCCCTGGACATCCTGCACTAACAGCTACTGTGAATAAAAGGTCCCTTCTTGTTTGTGGCTGTAGAAGAATGGTTACAGAGGCAGCACCAGACACAAGAGAAAGCAGCTGAGAAACAGCAGCCAAGGCTACAGGCACTGCTCACTATACAGTACCCTCTACAGGAACCATGGGTATGCAAGAACTGTGTGCAGCAAAGCTCAGCTCAGCTCCAAAGCATACTGCAGTCAAATAGCCTGCAACCATTCAGTGCCAAGATTAACACTTCCATTGGAGTAGCCACACAAATGGCTACAATCAATTGCTAGATGCCCATCATCCAACGCAGCAAAAAATTCTGCCATGAAACAGCAGCAATTTTCTATCATTTACGTAGGAATATAGAATTAGGAGCAGGAGAAGGCCAGTCAGCCTTTCCAGCCTTCTCTGCCGTTCAAAATGGCTGATCCTCTATCTCAATACCACATTCCCGCTTTCTCCCCTTAGCCCTTGATCTCTTTAAAATCTAAACATTTATTAATTTCTTTCTTGAAGATATTCAGTGACCTGGCCTCCACAGCCTCCTGAGGTAGAGAATTCCACAGATTTGCTGCTCTCTGAGTGAAAAAGAATTACTCATTCAGTCGTAAATGACCGTATCCTGACTGCACAGCCTGAGACTCTGCCCCCTGGTTCTAGACTGTCCAACCTGGGAAAACATCATTCCTGCATCCCGTTTGTCCAGCCCTGTTGGAATTTTGTACATTTCAATCAGATCCTCTCTCATCCTTCTAAATTCTAGTGAATGCAGGCCCAATCGAACAAACCTCTCCTCATAGGAAAGTCCTGTCATCCTAGCATTAGCCTAGAGAGCCTCCGCTAAACTATATCCTCTCTTAGTTAAGAAGACCAAACTGCATACAATGCTCCAGTTATGTTCTCAGCAGGGCTGTATATAAGTGCAGTAAGACATCCTGACTTCTTAACTCCAATCCTCTTGCAATGAAGTTCAATATACCATTTAGCACACATTGTGGTCACTCATTGGGCTATCAGGGTACTAGACGGTCCATCTGAATGTCTCAATAATGCCAGACAACAAATTGGGGACCATTGATGCAACTCCTTTTTCTATTTCAAACAAAGACATATTGACAAGCACTTACTTTGCTTCATGTCTGCAAGCTGGGCTGTCACATCATTCCTCAAATCTTTAATTTCATTGGAGATCTGTTTAACTGGAAAGGAGACCATTATTAATAACATTAATGCTCCAACATTGACAAGCAAACACAACTAGATGTTTTTAAAGGTAGCTTTCAGGCTGTGATTATAGAACAGACAATTCAGTCTCAACTCTGTTCAGCCATGGCTAATCTAAATGCTTAACTCCATCTACCTGCTATTGCTCTATGTCTCTTAACAGTCATATTGAATAAAAATCGATCAAACTCAGGTTTGAGGGTCGGTTTGGGAGCAGTTCCAGAAGAAGTGCTTTCCAAAGATAGTCCTGAACAACTTGGCTCTTGTTTCAAGACTACGTCCCGTTGTTTGGGACTGTTCTCAGCAGAGGAAATAGTTTCACTAGGCCCTATCAACCCTTTTCATCATTTTAAACTCCACTATATGGTATTTGTTTCATTTGTTCATGGGAGGTAGGCTTCACTGGCTTGGCCAGCGTTTATTGCCTGTCCCTACATGCTCTTGAAATGGTGGTATAGAGATGCCTTCTTGAACTGCAACAGTCGATATGCTGTAGGTAGACCCACAGTGCCCTTTGGGAGGGAATTCTAGGATTTTGACCCATTGACAATGAAGGAACGGTGATATATTTCCAAGTCAGGATGGTGAGTGGCTTGAAAGGGAAACTAAAGATTGTGGTGTAATGAGGTCGTTGGCTGAGTGGCCCTGGCAGAACCCAAGCAGCATGAATGAGCTGGTTATTGCTGAGCAGGTGCTCCTTGATAGCACTGTTGATCTTCATTATTGAAGGAAATACAAGCCCAATTAATACAATTTATAAAATTTAACAAATCCTTGTGTTTTAATTCTTTGAATTTCAGATCAGTTAGATGAAGCTTTAAGGAGTCTATGAAACATGTAGAATAATTGCATAACTCTCCTCTGAAACTGAAACTTCTCTTCAATATAAACAACGCCACACTCTTCACCCTCTCCCCAGATCTCCAGTTCTTCACCTATTTAGCCTGAACTTCTGTCTCAATGACTGAAAGAAGGAGATTTGGTAGATGCAAAGGAAGATTTCAGAATTACAAAGGTGATTAAATAAGTTTTCACAGTGGTCATTAGACTAACTGATCTTGTTTGAAATACATTTAGAAGTTTCAATATTATTTTGTTTGAAACAGTATCTTTAATTTTACTTAGGGATAGAATGCATGATGGCTAAATTTGATGATTACATTAAAGATAGATGGGGAAGTAAGCTGGAAAGATGACAGAATGAATCTACAAAGAGTTTAAAGTTCTGTGCCCAATTTAAAGTTCATTCATGGAGTCACATGTCTGCCAGACTGTGTAAGGATGGCAGATTTCCCTTTTTAATGGCTGTTAGTGAAACAAATGCATTTTAATTAAAATCAGCACTGGTTACACGGCTGGGTATCTACAAGAGTTTAGAAGAATAAGAAATGATCTTGCTGAAACATGTAAGATTTGGAGGTGACTGGATAGGATGAATGCTGCAAGGATATGTCTCTCTTGTGGGAGAGGCCGGAACTAAAGGGCACCACGTAAAAACAAAGGGGCTTCCATAGATGAGGAACTTTTTCCATTTGAGGATTGAGAATCTTTTGAATTCTCTTCCTCGGAGAGTGGAGGAGGCAGTGTCATTGAGTACTTTTAAAGCCGAGAAAGACAGATTCTCAAATGTCTTGAGGGTCAAAGGTCATAAGGAGGAGTTGGAGAGTGGAGTTGTGGCCACAATCAAATTAGCCATGATTATTTTGAATGGTGGAGCAGAGTCAAGGGGCTGAATGGCCTTTTCCTGCTCTTAGTTTGAATATTTATCTGTTAAAATAAAATGAAAGAATAAAGGGGATCATACATCTGCCCAACAAAAAGCCTGGATGACACAGTTGCTAACATTGACATGGATCCAAGTTGTCTTACTGGGAACAATGTTCTAGATGTTCATATCCAATAACAATAGTGATACTGTACTCACTGTGGGTATTTGTTCATTTCCAAAACCAAAGGGTGGTGCTAGTAATTTTATAAATCTGCTTAATTACGAGGAATTGGAGTTGGAGGGGACCAGAGAATAGCTTATTAGCATTTGTACATGGTTACAAAGTCCATGTGATTAACATTGCCATGGGGATAGCCTTTCAGAGTGGAATGGCCTACAGACAGCAAATGTGGTATTGGGTTCCAGTCTTTCCACAATATCCCTGAAAGCTATAGGTACAAATACAAAAATCTGAGAAAGGGGAAGAAATAGAGGTAGCCTGTCCTGTACCTGAAGCAATGGTCAGGCTGTGGCTGGGAGCTCATGCTCAGATTGAAGAGACTGAGGTTCATAAGGATTTAAAGGAGCCTGGAAGATTTGCCTAGGCTTAGCTAAGAAAGGAATTTTCACTGGAACACTCACAATGATAAACAATTCTAGAATTAAAACTTACCTGGCTAGGAAAGGAAGAAAGAAGCAGGAAACAAGGAACATAGAATAGCTTTGGTTTGGTTCTGGGAGAATGAAATGTTTATTTCAGGGACAGAGTGAAGTATAATTGTCAGGAAGATCTTTGGTCCTGCTGAAAGCTAAGTGGAGAGTTTCTATAGAGTATAAAGTGACTAACAAATGATCAACATTGCTTTTTAGTTCATTTGTTACCGTAAATATCTCAAAATTTGAAATCCTGATCCTTTCATTCAGTCACTGGGAATTCAGATATTTTAATAAAAACTTTGTTGGTCTCTATGGAGATCATAAGAGCCTGCATTTACATTGTTTCCCTTTATAACTAAATGAATGCTATATTAATGACAATTTTCATTGGGTCATAGAGATTTAGCACACATTTGGCACATTGCACCATATTTTAGAAGGATTGAGAATTTGCGTCTAGAGCTTCTAATCCCCTCTCTCCACAGCCTCAGGTGAGACCATTAGATTCCAGTGACTCTCCCACCTCGAGATCATTCCCCGGTCAATTCCATCTTGACAGTTCTGTAACACGCTAGGTTTGCCTGACTTCGCTCAGATTCCCAAGCTGATCAGATGTCACAAACATTCAGAAACTTACATTTTAGCAGGCCAACGACAAATATTATGATCAGCAGAACAAAGAGTCCCAGGAGAATGTAGGCAATGATTTTAGAGAAATTGCCTTGGGATGTCCCTGCTGTCCCTTTGGCAAGTCCTGAAAGGAGACACAGAAATGGTAAAACACATTGTGATCTTCTATGTTGAAAAAGAAATAGTTTGCCTGTTTGTAAATAACTGAGGAATTTCCCTTAGCAGGTGAGACTGGGGAATGAATAATAGGAAACAAGGAAATGGGCTTTGATTATGTATTTTATAACTGCTTCACAGTAGAAGACACTAGAAGCACCCTAGGAATAGTTGAAAGTCAGCAGGCACAATGGGGCAAGGAAGTAAAATAATCACTGGAGAATTAGTACTGGGAAAATTACTCTGAACAATAGCTACTTGGAAACTGTCCAGAGCTGACGGCTTGTATCCTAATGCCTTGAATATATGAGAGATCTGCCATCTACGGTACAGATCTTTTTTCCCTCAGAAGATCTATAGATTCATGGATTCATACAGCGCAGAAAAGGCTCTTTGTGTGTGTGATCCATGTGTGTGGCTTTTCTATGTACTTTTGTTTGGAGTTCCCCATGAGCCATACGCACAGACCAGGTACTGAACTTCAACAGTAACCATCCTAACACACACAAATGAAGCTGCGTGCAAACACTATTTAAAAGGGCAACAACACACTACAGCAACACGGAACGACGCCAAGAGGAAGAAGAATACCTCTTCCAGGTTTTCAAGGATAATGGATATCCAAAAAACTGGGTCAGAAGAGGCCTACACGAACAACAACAAGAAGATACTACACACCCCGATACACTCATCACACTACCCTACATCAGGCACACATCGGAACTAACCACAAGACTCCTACGACCGCTAGGCATCAGAGTGCCACACAAGCCCACATCAACCCTACGACAACTGCTCACCCAAACTAAAGACCCACTCCCCGCCATGGACAAGACCAATGTCATCTATAAGATCCCCTGCAGAGACTGTAAGAAACACTACATCGGACAAACAGGAAGGAAACTAACAACAAGGATACACGAACGCCAACTGGCTACAATGGTACAACATCAAAATCCTGGGACAAGCTAAGCAGAGACAGGCACGGGAATTCCTAGAAGCCTGGTACTCCACGAAGAAAGCTATCAATAAACACATAGAACTCGACCCCATATACACTCCACTACGAAGGAAAACTGGAAGCGAGGCAATCCAGAGATAGTAGGAAATGCAGATGCTGGAGAATCTGAGATAACGAGGTGTAGAGCTGGATGAACACAGCAGGCCAAGCAGCATCATAGGAG